TGCTACTATAAAAGGGATAGACCATTTTTGGTGTATGCTCCAATCAAGGTAGGCCTTTGGACAGATTTTTGCTCTTTTTATTTTTATGGAATTAAGCAATATGCATACTGAAATCCCTTCAAAGTTGTATTAAAGATGGAGAGTTTAAGATCACCCTGAACTAAAAATTGGGTTTGTTTGCACCAAAAACAAAAATGACTTTTTACTTACAAAAAAACTCGGGTCAGAGAAAAAAACTTACTAAAAATGCAGTTATAATGAGGAACTTGATGTGATGTTCTCAATAAATATTTTGCTTTTTGCAACAATTTACAATTTCAATATGTGGTACAGAACGTAAATTAAATCAATCATTTTCAGGTCGAAATCAAGAGATTCAATCCCCTTGCTGTGCTTTTCAAGGATATCATCAGTGATGAGGAAGTAGAAGCGATTCAAGAACTTGCTACACCAAAGGTGGGAAACTGACAGTTTTCTAGTTATATATCGTAACGTTTATGAACTACTAAGGAAGAAACATCTCTAACAGTTTTCGGAGTGATACAACTAGGAACAAGATGAAGATAGAAAATAATATGATATTCCTTTACACTAAACTTTTATTAGAAAATACACTTTTCTCAGTTTTATGGTGTATAAGCCCTAAATTCAAGTATCACGTGTCAATCAACGAATACAGTGATTTTGTAAGGATTTATTGGAGGAACAACATTTATTTTAAAATCAAATGAGTCCTTTATGTTACTTTGTTGTACGCGATGACTTCTTTGCTATATATTTACGACAATGCAATAAAATTGAAGAAGCGCGACTCTCTCTTACGAGCGCTACCTAGTTACTTATCCTAAATTCGTACTTATTCAGAATTTTCTTGATTCCTTAGCCTAGTTTACGGTAACTCTTCGTTGCCGTAGAATACAAAATTTTCGAGACAATACTATTTTCACGGAGAGTCCATAAGTTGTGCAAGCTGTCAGCCCCCTGGCTCACCTTTTTGTTAGGGGCGCTCCTTATGCTTTGTGGATTCAAGCAGATAATCCTTAAACCTTAGCAGCATATAAGGATTC